AGAATCTCCAGCTAGGAGCCACTGAATAGTGCAGAGAGAGCGAGGACTCTGCAGCAGTGGCTGAAAACACAGCTAATCATATTAAATTCTGAAAAGAATCATCTGTTTCTAGTGGTGAAAGCGAAAGCAGGCCGTGCAGAGATCAGTCAGTAGTTTGTGGAATTTTCCAATATAAGGCCATCTTTATTTATGAAACTGAAAGCACTAGCTGCTAGAGACCCTGACATGTGTATCAACAAATGTATAGCTTTGAATAAGAACTAGTTGTTACAAATGTATCAGCTGTTCTAGCAGTTGGTCCCCCGTGTGGCCTTTTATTGAACACTTCACAGAGAGCTATTCATCTTTTACTTTTGAATTGATTTCCACCAGAGAGCAAGGATCTCTCACCACTGGTGTCATGGTGGCCTTTGCATGAACTGCTGGATGGGCCATCAAACTGAAAATGACAGAGCGGGAATCTGGGAAAGAGGGAACTGCATGGTAAGGTTTAAAGAAACAGTACGGGTGAAATATAGAAAGTGTGATGGAGATGAAGTTATCAGCTTGCAAAATCTTACAAGTGTTTATCAAGTGATCTCTAGCTGCTTCCCGTCCGCCCTATAGCAGATAGACTGCTACAGCATGGCATGGGTGCACAAAATCACGTATATATATATATATGTGATTTTGCATCTCTGGTTAGGGGGCATGCCAATGCCCGGTGATTGCCGAACATCTCCAATGGGGGGGAGAACTGTTTGTAAACAAAACAGTTCTCCGTCAGCTTGTGCACACTGCTTTGTGTGGCTGTACACAGCAGAGCCATGCAAAGCAGGGTGCTTACAGTGAAGAACACACACACAGACCAAGTAGTAAAATGGCACACAGCACACAGGTAAACCTTTTATCACATCACATGTTAACCTCTTCCTGCCCAGTGCCATTAGTACAGTGTCAGTGCTTTTTATTAGCACTGATCACTGTATTGGTGTCACTGGGGGATGTCAGCGACACCAAGTCAGTTCCCCCCAGTGTCAGAATGCCGGCCGCAGTCCTGCTATAAGTCGCTGATCGCCGCCATTACTAGTATATATATATTTAAAAAAAAATCCCAGTATACATACCACCATTTGTAAACGTTATAACTTTCATGTAATCCAATACATGTACATGTATTAGGATTTTTGTTTTAGCAAAGACATGTAGCAGAAGACATTTTGGCTGAAATTTATGACAAAATTAGATTTTAAAATTTTTTTACTGGACACGTTTAACAGCAAAAAGTCACAAATATTGTTTTTTTCTCAAAATTGTCGGTCTTTTTTTTTTATAGCGCAAAAAAATAAAAACCACACAGGTAATCAAATACCACCAAAAGAAAGCTCAATTCATGGGAAAAAAAGGATGTCAATTTAATTTGAGCGCAGCATTGCCTGACTGCACAATTGTCAGTTAAAGTAACGCAGTGCCGTAACGCAAAAAATGGCCTGGTCAGGAAGGGGGGTAAATCCTCTGGAGGCTAGAGAACTGATACCAAAGCAAGAAACTAAAGAGAGTGTGGAAAATGTTTAATGCACAATTTTTAATCACAGTACACTGTTACAACATTCAGCAGTTATTCAGATAAAAGCAAAAAAATGCAATGGGGATTATTTACTGAACCTAAAGAGTGTACAATGTGGTGCAGCTCTGCATAGGAACTAATCACCTTCCAGGTTTTATTGTCAAAGCTTAAAGCAGGCCGTACATGGGTCAGATTCTGAATAATTTTTCATTTGTTCTGTAATTTGATGGTGCTACCAATGATTTCAAAAATCAGTCATTTTTCACAAATTTTCCAGCATGCACAATAAACGAAATGGGGAGGAACCACGAAAATCGGCAGGTGACATTTCCCCACTAACAGAGAGAAAATCGGCCGATTATTCTTAGGTCCGATTTTCGAACAAAAAATGTATAGCCAGCCTAACTGAACTAGATGAAGTTAGAAGCTGATTGGCTAACATGCACAGCTACACCAGATTCTGAGTGCACCAGTTTTAGTAAAATTACCCCAATGTTGTAAAAAAACGCTCACTGACTAGTGGTCATTTTTAAAAATTTGTATTTAAGGCCTTTGATTCTGAAACCTAAAGTATATACAAAGTGCCCAAATGTATCACAAAGGTAAAGCCAAACACTCATCAAGATAACAGCAAATGCTGCAGGGTACTTCTATTTATTAAAGATAAAACTTTGGAAAGCGTTGGGAAATATTTGAACCCTCTTTGTGGTTTTTACAGCTTGTACATGAATGCCCAGCACCTCAAATAGAAAAAACCCTCAACTCTTTCCTGAGGTCATAAATGCAAGAGAACAAAAATAAACATAATTCCACAGACATTTTTGGGACACAAAGGTCCCCTATCTCAGGGTGACAGACAAATGTACACACAAGCAACCACAAATATTTATATCAAGTAACCCAATTTATACAGAAATAACGTAAACTGTGCATGTCTCTCCTTATGCACAATGACGCACCACGGCCGGGTGAATGGGAAAAAGACACTCTTTTTTCACTCGCTTGCTGTTTGATATGTGCACTTCAGAATGGTTTGTTTTGTTTCAGATGCATACGTTCATTGAAGAATTTCTTTATGTCATATTCGTTATGTTGAACTGATTCGTTTTCGGAATTCATTTTGTATCATCAGCATTCATTTTGTATATTTGTTGGTCTGTGTGAATTCTAATAATTGTGCAATTTTTCTGGAAGATTGCTATATATTCAATATATTATTGAATCAGAAGGATTAGGGATTTGGATGCTAGTCTAACGCACCGAGAAATGGCATGAGCTGCTTGGGCAATATCGACTGGCGTCATATGCATTCAAATTAGCAAACAGAATGAAATTCGGATTCATTAGCCAAATATGAATTAGTGAACAAATTTGAAAATTGAATTCATTTCCCCATGGGTCCAACTACTACTGCAGCATGTGACCTCATCCAAATTAAACAAATGCATTTGTCAATTACTTTATAACTTTTTTGGATTCGTTGACATTTGTTAATATGTCCATTTGGAGATGCGTAAACATCTAAATCTTTGAAAATTTTATTTTCATCCAAAAAACAAATCGTAATGAAACACACGTCTACTTGCCGTAACCTCTAGTATATGGGAGTAAATAACAAAAGGTACTATACTGATCCAAGCAGATCCTGCAAAACTAGAAAAAAGGGACTAAAGGGCAAAAAATGGAGAATAGGCATATAACCCAGGAAATCAAACAAAATGGAAAACCAAATTGTAGAAAAACACTAAAGACTAAACTTAAAAGATTCAAACTGGAAAACCTGAATAGAATAAGAAATTCACAAAATAGAAGAGATAAATGTCAATGATCAGATAATAAAGATCAGATCAGATAATAAACAGAGTGAAAATGTGGTATTTAAACCCCTAGAAGCCATCATTTGCAGATAATGTATCTGGAAAAAGACTGTGTAATAAAAAATGTTTTTAGTTACCACCACGATTGGACCCAGAGATACGGTCAATCACCATACCCCTGAATTGATGAGTTCGGTGCAGAACATGAACATAATGAACCCCCACAGGGTTGTCTCTGCAGATGGTGGTTCTCCAGGGCCACCCTTATCTCATTTATTTGCTTATAATCCAACACCTGATGTCCAGCATTCTTTCCAATATATACCAAGGATGGTGGGCATTTGTCACGTATTGTACCTGGTAGTGAGCCTGACGTGCAGAGGAAGGCCTCTCGTACAACTCTGGCTCAGGGGTCACCAATAGTGGAACAGTAACCATGAGAGTGCGGTGAGGTATGAGTGCCGTGATCAGTCTAGTAGTCTGCGTAGGTACTAGCTGTCACTTTGCTGAAAGGATTCCAGGAACAGAGCAGCTGGTGGTAGGCAGATGTCTCAGCAAGGCAGGCTGGCAGCAGGTAGAATGCACAGCAGGCAGGCTGATAGCAGATGACTGTCAGCAGGCGAGCTTCACAGCAGGCAGGCTGGTAGTAGACAGGCTGAAAGCAGATAGATGGCACAGCAGGCTGGCTGATAGCAGATGACTGGCAGCAGGCGAACATCACAGCAGGCAGGCTTGTATTAGACAGGCTGTCAGCAGATAGATGGCACAGCAGGCAGGCTGATAGCAGATGACTGGCAGCAGGCAGGTTGGAAGTGGACAGGCTGGCAGCAGGCAGATGTATCAGATGAGAGCGTACTGGATTACAGAGCTGGAGCAGGCTGGATGAACAGGATGCAGGGTCAGGCAAACCGGGTCGGCAACATTCGGGCAGATTGGGCATAAACAGCAGGCAGGAGAGGAGTCAGGTCACAGGCCAATGTCAGCAATGGTGGAGGAAGATCTGGCAGAGGCAGTAAGCAGAGACAGAATCCAGGGAACAAGCCAAGGTGAGGGCAGGTAGCAGACAAGCGGAGTCAGGAGCAAGCCAGGGTTGAGATCAGAGGTCAGGCACTGGAATCAGGATAAACACACTCAAACACACTCAGAAGCTGCAAACCAAATAGCAATTAGCCAATGCAGTAGTGGTGTTTAAATGGGCTATTTGGCACCAGTCTTGGTAACAGGTGCGCACCCGTATGCGCAATTGCGTGCGCCTATGCTCATCCTTGTGCACATCTGCCTGGCCAGTTGCTGGTCTGCACATGCACATTCTTATGCGCCAGGAAACTTTATCTGCACTATGAGCAAGCCTTTCCTGACATTTCAAAAGATAAAACTGAAAATCCTTGTCTTAATTAAAATGTCATTAGATGTTAAATGTGACCTGATCAGAGAATGTGGATCTGCAGATAAGCGCACTTCATAAATTAAATTTGCGACACTTGAAGCATCCCTGATATTTCTCAAAGGGATCTGCTCTAATTAACTACTTGCCAACTGCAGATAGCCAAATGACGGCTACACTGCGGCCGGCCAGTTCTGGGAGTGCGTTATATGACGTCCTCCCAGAACACGCTCTCCTGCGCGCCCCCCGGGGTATGCACTTGGCGATCTCCGTGATCACCTGTGTCCTACAGTCGGACACAGCTGATCACGTGATGTGGTAAAAGGCCAATCACAGCGGCCTTTTACCACGTGATCAGCCGTGTCCAATGACACGCTGATCACCTGGAAATGCAATTGCCGGTTCTCGGCTGCACTTTCCTTGTGCTGTCAGAGCGCGAGGAAAGTACTGCCGAGAACCGGCAGTTGTCAGAGCAGGGATCGGCACCGATCATCAGGGCACTGATGATCAGTGCCCAGCAGTGCCACTCAGCAGTGCACCCACCTGTGCCCAGCAGTGCACCCACCAGTGCCACCCAGCAGTGCCACACACCTGTGCCCAGAAGTGCCACCTACCTGTGCCCAGCAGTGCCACCCACCTGTGCCCACCCACCTGTGCCCACCAGTGCCACCCACCTGTGCCCACCAGTGCCCATCAGTGCAGCCCAGCAGTGCTGCCAGTCAGTGCCACCAGTCAGTGCCCAGCGGTTGTGCCAGTCAGTGCCCAGCAGTTGCGCCAGTCAATGCCTAGCAGTGCCGCCAGTCAGTACCCAGCAGTGATGCCAGTCAGTGCCACCTATCAGTGCTGTCTATCAGAACCCATCATCAGTGCCGCCTATCCGTGACACCTCATTAGTGCTGCCTATCAGTGCCCATCAGTGCCACCTATCAGTGCCCATCAGTGCTGCCTCATCAATGCACATCAGTGAAGGAGAAAAATTACCTGTTTGAAAGATTTTATAATAGAAACAAAGAAACTTTTTTTTTTTAATTTTTGCAATTTTTATGTTTATAGCGCAAAAAGTAAAGTGCCCAGTGGCGATTAAATACCACCATAAGAAAGCTCTATTTGTGAGAAAAAAATGATAAAAATTTCATATGGGTACAATCTTGCATGACCGCGCAATTGTCATTCAAAGTGCAACAGCGCTGAAAGCTGAAAATTGGCATGGTAAAGAAGGGGGTATAAGTGCCCGGTAGGCAAGTGGTTAATACATCTCTTAAGTTTTTGTCTCATTTAAATGTAGTGATGGTCATTTCTTGGACCGATCAGATACAAAGTTATGAGTTCATCACTGACTTTTTTAGGCATTGGTTCACACTGTGTGCTATGATGTTCAGTATCAGAGTTAATACCCAATACCCGTACAAACTGAGAGAAATACGAGTTTTTGATTATATATCTAGGAAGGGAAGAAGAAAAAATGAACAAGGGTGTCCTATCTGTGAGTTTTAGGTATAGTTTGGTGGCTAAGCCACCATTATCCAGAACACATATGACCACATCCCAAAAAGTAATGTATCATGTTGACATAAGTGAATTAAATTAAATGATGGATAAAATGGAGTCTGAAATAACAAAGTAATCAAAAATGGGGAAACTTCCTTGCAATATGATATAGTAATTCAGCCATTTAAAGCATAGTCATGATAAATAAATAATGGATGAATACATTTTTATTCAAGAAATCCAACAAAAAGGTTGAAAATTAAGGATGCCATCAAGCAGCCCTGGCAGTGCCACTATTCTGCCTATTTTGACAGCATCAATACAGCCTTGTCAAGCATAGAAGTATATGGAAATGTCCATATGGGACATTTGTATTTTGTGAATGGTTCATTGAATCATTCACGCAATAAAAGAAGTTATGTGTTTGAATATGGGAGAGGAGGGGTCAATAAATGACAGGACTGCTTTTGTGTATGAGAGCTCCAAATGTATAGTGATAGGTGCAGTATACTATCTAGCATCAAAGAAAGTAAACAAGAGGCAGCCATCCTGGAGGTGTCATACATCTCATGAGACCTAAATAATTGTTACACAGTATATTTGAAAACAAAAAAGTTCTGCTTTAAAAATGTCAATGTCCAAATAAAATTGATTCACATGGTAAGCTTTTGTTTAGTTTTTTCCTATTTAGAATGCTGGCCATACATGTTCACCATGGTATCACCATTGGCCTTGCACCATCCAATCTGAGATGGTAAAATATTTTGTTTCAGGATGGATTTTTTTAATATGGTTTTTACTGCTGTTTGTGTCCTGGCTAGGAAAATTTACTCTCTCCATTTGTCCTGGTGACTGCTGTCATAGGGACAGAAAGTGATGGGAAACCTATTACCTTGACAGCTGCCTGTGAGTGGATTTTCCCTAATTTTAAAGAGATTTCTTCTTAGTTCCTGTTGCGTTCCTGGGACAGGAAGTGAGGATACACAGAAAGCTATACAATTACTTGCAAGAGTTTTTAACTATTCCCTACTGTATGCAAAACTAATTTTAAAAGTTTGTGTTTCTCATTATTTACATAGCAACATTTAGCTCCCAGTAAGACCATGTCTACTTTTAAAGGAAACCGGAACTGGCAGAAATATGTAGGCTGACCTCCTGGAAAAAAGAGAAATGGCCCATAGCACCTAATAAGATTGCAGCTGTTGTTTTGTTAAATGATTAGTCCACTCAAGTGTTTATTATAGTTGAAACCTGGTGGCCTTCTGAATCCCTAATTTTGTATAAATCTTGGATTCTTAGTGAGGCCTCCCTGCCTTAATTCCCAAACTATGGAGTTATGGGTGTTTCTGCCCACCTCTGTGTGTCCCAGCATCTTCTGTTGCATTCTCCATAATATAAAGTAGGTAAAAAAAAGTACAGTAATACCTTTCCATAACGAAGATAATAGATGTGTAGACCCAGGTACATAAGAGCAAAAATATCACAAATAGAGTTCCCAAGACAAGGTGGTTTAACAATCTAACATCTACCAAATACTATAGTATCCATTTGGGGTGGACTGTCCAGGTTAAAAAACAAATATTCACATGTTAGTTTATTAAGGGACATACCTCATTTGTCACTTTACCTTCTTTTATAATATTTTTCAAATGTCCAGCATAGGTTTACTTATGTTGATTAATCTACCTTAGACCAAGCAGTCTGACAAGTTCTGGACTACTAATGTACTCACTGTTTGTAGGCAGATGTTGATAAAGGAGATTAATATTCTGGTCTAGTACTATATACTATGAAACTGTAACACGGTTCTAATGGTGTAACAACTGTAAAACTTTACTTTAAGTAACTGGAAATTGAAAAAAGGCTGTAAACTGAAGGGAATGAAAACGAGTGACAACATAAAATGTATGACTCAGAAGCCTTTAGAGGATCATTTCAATATTCAAACCTAAAGTTCCCTTTGTAAGGCACAGAGGAAAGATTGCAATAGTTAGCCGTAATAGTATTAGTCACACAAATACAGGATAGTTGACCATTTCGTGCCTCTAATAGGCCAGATGTTTACTTTCACACAAACGGTATGCTTGACCATTACATGGCTCTAATTGGCCTGAAATTCATTTGTACACATGTACAGTATACTTGACCATTACAAAGAGTCATCTGTCCTAGATTTGTTGGAACAGTCCCGCATCTTGGACCTCCTGATGATGCTCTTTCCTAGGTGATGTCCCAAGATCACAGTGTTACCTATATTTAAGTTACTGTGGGCGCCCAGGCATTTATTATGGTGATGGGGGTTTCCACAGAATTAGAGTCGGGATTGGTCGGGCCACTCCAATAATTGGGCGGGACTGCCCACTCACTGGGTAGGCCTGAGATGGACTGTGAGCAGACTTAACTGTGTCCCATGGATTGGGGCTGCGGGTGTTGGTAGGTATTACGTGGCTTTGCTAAGCTTGAAGGTCCAAAGTTTATTTTCACACATATGTTACATACATAGTATACAGGATATTTTACCATTGCATGGCTTTGATAAGTCTGCAGTTTATTTTCACACACATACAGGATGCTTGAATATTATATGGTTCTGATAGTCCCAAAGTTTATTTTTACACACACAGGATGCTAGACCATTACATGGTTCTGATAGGCCCAAAGTTTATTTTCACCTGCATACAAAGTACTTGGCTATTACATGGCTCTGAAAGGTCAAAAGTTGACTTTCATACACAATACTTAACCATTAAATACCTATTTTGTATTCCCAAAAACTCAGGAGTCTCCAGTTGGTCTCCCAAAATCTCGACAATATCCTGAGCTTCAGTGGTAGGATGGGGTGCAAACTGGTCTCTGGCTTCATTCATCAAGGACTAATCGCCTTGTGCTGGTCACCATGGAGGTTCTGCTATCAAGGGATGGTGAGGGGCTGCTGATTCTGGTTTGTGGACAGTGTGTGAGATCACCCTGGGAGAGCAGGGACCTGACCGTGCAACTGAGAATGAGAGATGATGTGTTCATCAAAGATGAACGGGAGAACAGGGACAGAGAATGGACACCAGGGCAGATAAAAGCAACAGTATAGATATTGAGGGTATTCTACATAATGTGTAGGCTCAGCATGCTCATGAAGGGGCCTTCTATATGCTGCAGGGGCTATGGAAAAGGAGGGGAGTGCAGTGTTATGAGGGGCTTAGTATGTCTATAATGTGGGGCTGAGTACAGCTTAATAGTGGCAGTGTAATTAGATAAAAAAGGGTAAAACGAGCGCTGGATAGTTTTAGAACAAAATATAAAAGCAGCTGGCATTAAAGGCAAGCCTCCAAAACGCCTCGTGGGGTAACAGTCACGAAAAGAAAACATGCAGCGCTAAGGTATGAAGATCTGTCTCACAATGCAATGTGACCACCTAAATAGGTATAAACGCAGCTAGCATAAAGGTAATGGTATATGCAACCAATACGACAACATTCTCATGGTCAAAAAAGTGTACATAGTGACATAAGTGTCAAAGTCAATATATCATTGGAGTGACATAAAAAATCTGTGACATCTGTGGTAGGAAGTGTGGCTGTAGAGTGCACTAACCAGATAGCGCAAACAGTAGCGCATTGGAGTAAAATGACCTACTCCTGGTCAATGGATCAGGAAACCTGCCGGAGTGGTGGTCGTCTCTGCTGTGGTCACCAGAATCATCTGCGTCCTCTCCAATTATGGCGTTACCAAGTATCCAGTGGGATAAATGCTCATCCGGTATGTAGTGGAATCCTTTTGTGTCAGCGACCTCCAGGGGGTGCGGTGTGCGCTCATGGAACAGGAGTCACCTTCAGGGCTCAGAAATAAACCCAAAAGAGAGGCTTCCGATAGTGTAGTAACTTTTATTAAGGAGTATAAAACAAAGGAAGCACTTACATGGTGCAATTCACAACTCCAACTATGATAAAGATGGCCGCCCGTATCAAGGTGTGGACCATGTGGGTAGTAGTGGTAGGTAAAGTGGCATCTCCCTTAATAAAAGTTACTACACTATCGGAAGCCTCTCTTTTGGGTTTATTTCTGAGCCCTGAAGGTGACTCCTGTTCCATGAGCGCACACCGCACCCCTGGAGGTCGCTGACACATAAGGATTCCACTACATACCG